CACCTCTCTTATAGCGTCGCTAGTCCTCTTTATATTGAAGCCTAAAAGAGGACTAAGGTTCTATGTTAACTACTATACGCTTAACGCTATTACGTAAAAAGACTAATACTCTCTTCCTCTAATTTATAAAACCCTAAACTAAGTTAGACAAGCTAAGTAGTATACTAAGTTAGACATGTCTACTGCCTTTTATAAAATATAGATTACTAAAGAATAAGAATAGATAATAGCCTTTTAGACGAGATTTAGCTTATATAAATAGCTAGTTACACCCTTTAGTCTAGCTAATGCTCTAAGTACGTTCTAGCGCTATGTTAATTAGATCTTATAGGACCTACTAGACGACGTTGTATTTACTTACCTTAACAACATCTTAATTTTCATAGATAGCTCTCTATCTTAACACTACACCTACGTATAACAAGTAATTAAACAACTATAAGTAGCAGGACTATAACTTAAATTAGATAAGTGCGAACTTAACGTCTAACGTACAAAGTATTTAGGGTTTATCCTTGAAGTAGAAAAGGGTGTCTTAATAGACTTAGAGAAGATAAAAGCTATCTAAGAATAGAAACCCCCTACGTCTATCTAAGGCGTATAAGGTTTCTTAGGATTCGCTAACTTTTACTAAAGGTTTATGCCTTACTTCTTACGTTTAGTAGACCCTCTTATACAACTTACTAAGAAAGACGCTAAGTTTTAATAGGGCGCTGCTTAAGAAGAGAGTTTTGTAGCTCTTAAAGAAGCATTCCTTTTAGACAAAGTACTTATCGCATTTAACCCTAAACGCCGTACAATAGTAGAATGTAATTCTTTTAGTTAAGCCTTAGGAGCTGTACTTCTATAAGAAGATGATAAGGGCACGCTCTATATAGTAGCTTATCTCTCTAAGAAACTGCTTACACACAAAGCTAATTACTCTATCTATAATAAGGAACTACTAGCAGTAATCTACTGCTTAAAGGAATGGGACGCTGAACTCTGTAGCGTACGGGAGTTTGAAGTTATTACAGACTATAAGAACTTAGAATACTTCACCTATAAGCAGAAGCTGTTTAAACGCCACGTACAATAGAACTTAGAGCTTGCTTACTTCCTAAACATAAAGTTGCGCTATTGTCTAGGTAAGGATAACATAAGAGCAGACGCGCTATCTCGCTAAGATTAAGATATGCTTAAGGACGTAGAGGACGAGCATGCCTTCTCTTGTAAATTTACAATGCTAGTCCTAGCTTATACGCTAGACTACGTCCTAGCACTGCCTATATAGACTTAAGGAACCTCTTTAGTGTTAGAAACACTACCTTAACCTCTAGACCTTCTAGCTTTAGTACAAGAATATTAGGTATAGGTAGCGCAGGATAACACTATCTACTAAGAAGTACTAGCCGCTGCACGAGAAGGAAGACAATCGCTCTCTAGCACGCGCAAGGTTGCTATCTCGCTAAGTGACTATATAATTAACTAAGAAGAACAACTCTAATAGCGTGGACGTGTGTAGGTACTAGACTTTAAACTATTACGCATAGGAGTTATCTAAGTGGCTTACCTATCTCTCTTAACTAGACATTTTAGACAAGAAGAGACCTATTAGATTGTTACACAAGAATAGTACTAGCCTCGCATAAGTGATGACATACGACGCTTCGTACAGAACTGCGAGCTATGCCGCAAAAGCACTCCCTAGCGGGACGGAAAGTTTGGTTACTTAAAGCCCCTACCTATGCCTAGTCGTACGTGGCAGCACCTTATAGTTAATTTTATTATAGGCCTTTCTAACTCTCTTAGAAACACAAACTTAATAGTAGTAAAGGACTAATTAGGGAAAGGCGTTATACTAGTCCCTATAAACAAGATTAAGATAATAGACGTTGCTTAGGCTTTCGTACGAGAAGTCTACCGCCACTATAGCCTTCTATAGTCTATCACGTCTAACTGCGGCCCCTAGTTCGCAAGCTAACTATAGGAAAACATCTGCAAGCTGCTAAATATTTAGTGGAATCTCTCTATAGCTT